ACTTTTGAGAAAGGTTTAATTAAAGACACATAAGAATTAATGTTTTAATTTCTAACGTGTCAAACAGGGTGTTACCAACCTAAGCCTATAATTTGCTGATATGGAAAGTTACAGTTAGTGTAACTAACTAATCCAGTCGTAATAAATAAGTGTTAATACACATTTTCCGTAGTTCGAACTTTGAAGACTAGATTATCATTCATTTGCTGATAATGTCTAGTTTTCATGAATATTAACCAAATGAAACCGATCCAATCAAAATGCAAAGCTAGAATTGTACAACTATGTTCACCTTGTTTGGAGTTACATCGACTCTAGTTGATAAATCTACGATTTCATTACCTAGTCGAAGTTTATACTACGAAGATTAGAGGACGGGATAAGAAGTTCGTTTTAAGGTAAACTACAGACTCGACAGAAAGTTGTATCTTAGAGCTAAACGTATTTTCAGACTATTCAAAATACTTTCGAGAGAACACTTTTACTTTTTAACTAAAAAATTCAAGCGAAGGGAAAAACTTTTACTGCATTTAATATTATGTGGGACACCTGCCATTCAAGTCCAGTGTGGAATCGCAGTCCATTGCGAATTGCTTCCCAGAATCGGCCCCATACAAACCTGATTTGTTTTTTCAAAATGGCAGCTTGAATTTTTAACAAGTTCCTATTAGTATTTTCGCCTCGGTGCGGGTCCACATTTTTGTTTTCATGAATAAAATGGACACTCGGATGCTATATTGTTGTGAACGGATGCAGACGCATTGTTTTAAAAGTTGATATTTGTAAATAAACGCAAAGAATGACGTTGTATTTACTTTCTCACGGTGCGTTTCGTTCTTTGTTAATAAATTGGAATGCACAACATTACGGTATTTGTTCTGCAGTTCATTTAAAGTTGAAGCCGTTGTAGACTTCGCGACTACTTTTTAAAAACATTATTTTGTTTCGCATTAATAATCTCATAGTATTATCTGCGTTCTTTTATTGTATAACGTTTTTTGAATTTTTGAAATCATGAAATTCACTGTTTACCTGCCTGCATTAAAAGTGGCTTTTAACTTCTCTATTAGGTACCAGTGGTTAATCAAAAACTTGATTGAATATGATTTACGACGCCATCGATCAACATTAGTAATCAATTTACAATCTTAACTGACTTTATTAGATTTTTATTGCAAGAAAGTAGAACTTATATTAACTGGCGATCGTAAAAGGAAAAATAATTATTTTCTTAAAAAATAGAAACAAATTATCTGAGTTTACAACGTCTTTACATAGTTCCATGGCCTTATCAAAACCGATACTAATATTGGTTAATATCAAATCTAGTGTAAACCAGAACTTTGGAGTTTGGTCAGACGATCAGAAGGTCGTTCGGGTGGATCTGATACCTTATCAAGTAACCTAGAGTTATGACTGTTAGGTATTTTTGGTGTGTTCTAATCTTTTTCAAAATCATTTATTTGGTTAATCATCACCCAAAAACGTACTACGATAATCTGACAAATATTTTTGTTTTCTTGAACTTTGTCATTGTTTTTAAAAGATTGCAGGTAGTTGTTTACATTTGTCGTTCTAAGAAAATGTAGTATCATCATGAACTATTACTTATTACTGATTGATAACAAGATAATCCAAAGACAAGTAATCCAAAGGTTGCAAAGATTTTCCATTTTCTCCGGTCTTTGGTCAGCCTGTGGCAAGCTCATACACCTACACATCGTATTTCGAATCTCGTTAGATGTTCATAACTTAGTAACACTTGCAAATAAACTCAAGGACCCAAATATTTCCAAATTTTCTGGACTCATATTTTTTGTCCAACATACACTGGATCATCAATTCTTCCTGAGATTAGAACCAACTTCAATTGCTTTCACGCGAATGACGCAAACTAAGTACCTATTACGTACACCAACGATAATAAAAGTAAGACGTATGCATATCAGGTGTTTCATCAGCTGACCATACTAACTCCTACAAGCTTATCATCTCCTATTATTCTAAGTACTACTAATTATTTTATATTTTTATATATTCCACTCGTCTTCTCATGCCACAATAGGAAAGCCACCTAATCACCTTTCTCCAAAGTCCACGTGCGCCTGCGCACGTCGGCCCCACCCACACATACAAATCAACACACACACAAGGATCACTCATAAATTCGCGTTCGATAAGAGAAATCACCGCGGAAACTTTGCCGATGTGATAAGGTCGCGAATTGTGGGTTTGATAGTAGGTAATTGGGTATAGGGAGAAAACTGTCCATGTTCGGTTGCGTGACTTAAGACTGTAATGTAATTTTCACGATTTTGGAATTCTATGTGTATAGTAAACTGGCAGAAGTATAGCCTAGAAAAAGAGACTATTTTCACCTCGCGGTCATATTGATAAAGAGTCTTGTGTAGGCAGAATCTATGAGATTTTATAGGCTGAAGTCAAAAGTTTAAAAATAATTTTATAATCCTTATTAGCTTAGATTTGATCAGAGTGATTAAATATGCTTCTTGAAATTTTGAAAGCAAATAAATTTTCTCGTAGAAAATTAACAAACTACTGTAGCTGTAGTTCCGTACATTTCATGTTAAGTACATACAACGTCATAATAGCTCAAATATGTATAGAAAATTAATCTATAGTAGATATTACTCGTAGATTAGATAGATGACATGTTATCCAAGATAATTACTATGTATTAGAATCACGCTTCCTTAAGATACACGACAATGTATCTTAGAATTAGAAGCTTAACCGACATAATCCAGTTAACTCTCTATAAACAAGAGACTACTTAAATAGTTATAACTAATAAGCATTGTTAGTTCTAATTAGAACTCAAAACGGACGACCACGTGTAAAGTGGCATTAGCACATTATTCAATAAAGTTGTGCTGCGCTCGTGCCAGGCTGATAAACGTACTTTATCATTATGTCTTCACGCATTATCCACACTTAAAAGTCTCACGAACAGAACGATACGAACATAAATAAGTACAATAAAAAGAGACATTTCAAGATAATTATGTAGTACAACAGGAGCCTAAATGTCTTTCAGCAAAACGATGCGACTAAAACGATACTTAAAATTTAGTTAAAAGTATTTATTGTAACACTAGCTTTCCGCCCGCGGCTTCGCCCGCGTGGAATTTTGTCTGTCACAGAAAAACGTTATCGCGCGCGTCCCTGTTTCAAAAACCGGGATAAAAACTATCCTATGTTCTTTCCCGGGACTCAAACTGTCTCTATGCCAAATTTCATCAAAATCGGTTGCGAGGTTTAAGCGGGAAAGCGTAACAGACAGACAGACAGACAGAGTTACTTTCGCATTTATTAGTTGGGAAGTTGGGATTTATCATGATATGAAAGAGATTTCATCCAGATAGATTTCATAATATTACGCAAAGTTGAAAAAACTTAGGTTCTAGCTCTCTGGCTGGTTATTAAAGAAAGGCCTATTTACTCGTATAATCTCAAAGGAGCAGTAGATCTAAAATCGTTTCCGTACCTTTGAATCTATTCGTCCCTACCTACATGCATGAAAAAACAGCATGAAAATACTAAAATAGCATTTTTAAGTATCTCTACAATGGTTTTATATGAGATAAAATAACTTCTCAAGATCTCCCTGCCTCGTACGTGAGCCCCTGAAAGTCTGTAATTGTTCCTTCACTTTGCAACTTTCTCAAGAAGTATCAAATATTGACAGCACGATTCAGCTGCGCGTGCGCGTCCTGTTTGGCAAACAACAAGAAGAAGGTGTACTTGGGACATTAGCACTTATTCTGACGCTTCTGCTGTTGATGGAAGAAATTAGTCACTAATAATATTTGAATTTAAGTATGCAAGATTAGGATTAAGAATATTTGAATTGAAATATGCAGACCACAACTAGTGTACTTATTAATATAATGTCTAACAAGTATTGGCGCCAGTGATGAGATAGTAATAAATCAGTGTTCAGGTACACAGTACACTACTCTTCCACTATGGCCCAATGGAGATTGAAGTAATTTTCATATTTATTTTGCTTGAAAAAATATATTAGTCAAATCATAACTTTATATCGACTGCCATGCATACTTTCATCAAAGCACGTTACATTAGATTTCGTTATTTCGCATGAAGCTCCTATATCAAACAATCCACACACATGTAATCAGTGCAGAGCCCCAATCATTTTCGTAATACCAACGTTGGCCACCTCAATACCTCAATACCTCCCTACCGCAGGCAGTACATAATGAAATACTAAGTTTTGATTGTTCAACATAATACCACACAAAGGCAATCATATCGTGAACAGTAAGACATGAAATGCTGATTGGATCGTGTTTGCAGGACATAGTACTGACTGTATTGAACATCTAATGCACTAAAATCTTATCAGAAGACTCTAACTACAGTTTATGGCAAAGAAATTGTATTGCGATTGCCACTAAAAAACTTTAAAGACACGCTGACGTCGCTGACACATGTGGGTTAATTCTAGAGTCGTATAGTTACGAGTATTTCCAAAATTAAAACTATGACATCGTTGTCTCAAAATACTGTACTTATATACGACATAAATAAAACATGAACCGCTAATTCTCAGAGTGTACTTACACCGGAACGTCACTCTGTCGTCATATGTTGACATGAGCAAAAACCTGCGCGGTCGGTCGGCGCATAGGCTTGCGCGGGCGTCACTGAGTAGGTAGTTAATTAAATTACTGAGATCTGAGATAGCGTTTTGGCAACAGTATTTATCATCCAATTACATGTAGATGTATATTAGATATGAGGGAACTGCATATGCGAATTATTTTCAGCATTTTTGTTCGTTCGTTCATTAAATAAGTTGCTTAGTACTCCATGACATACGGTTTCAAACTTTTGGTTGTCAATTAGGTTGGCTTCCATTCCAATCCGTGAACCGATTTCACATAGGTTTGTATCTTTCTTTATATTTACCCTTCTAAATGGTCCTCTTTAGAATTGAGCTCGTGTATACGTAGGCCAATAACAACAGCCAGTCTACACATTTTATACAGCGAACTGATTTCTTTTTCTATTGTTCCAGCATCGCGACGAAAACGTCTCAACCCTTCCACGTGGCCCTGGCCATCGCAGTACTGGTGTTCTGGCTGAGCAGTCCCGGGTCGGACTCGAGTCTTCGTGGGTGGCGAGCGCTCTACGTCGGCGCCGTCGCTACGCACCTCGGCGCGCAAGTGTGGATGACGCTCGTGTCAGGTCAGTAGCAGTGCATTATAGCATAGTCTCAGCCCTAGAAAGCCCTTCTTACGCACTGAGCACTCTGGATACGAGTCAATTTTGGCCAATACTTTTTTAAGAAGAAAAGGCCCCTTTTATCCTTAAATGCTCAGGGCCCCCAGTAACTTAAAGACAGCCCAGCCATCCACTATCCATTGCCATGCTGATGCCAGTTTAATAAAATCATGCAGTTCGTTCGTTCGTTTCAGCCGAAAGATGTCCACTGTTGGACAAAGGCCTCCCCCAAGGATTTTCACAAATCACGTAGTAGTCTCAAATTTTTTAAGACAAATCTCAAGTCTCTGTCATGGTGTGGCTGTTCTGGTTGAGCAGACAGGGTTCCGACACATCAGGCCGCGCTTAGACTCGGTTTGATCTTGTACTTTTAATATAATTAACCGACATTGAAATCTCACTAGTAACTGTTAGGCCGAGATGACTGAAAACTGAAAGAATAAAGTATGGTGAAGGCAAATGAAAATATAGTGGGCTCATTTCAAAACAAATTTGGAGAGACCGAAGAACTGCACCTAAAAGTATGTTAACACAAATAATAAACAAAGATAATGGATCCTACCTTTTGTTTCTTATTATTTGTCATAACCCGGATCTGGTTTAAGGAGATAAAATGCTTCAATATCGGTTGACTGATGTGTAGTTACTACCATCTTTACTTGTCAGAAGATAACTTATTGTACAGTTCAAAATCTTCAGCTATCCGAATCAGCTTCTAAAGGATTTTTTTGAGTTCACGAGACTTGTTATTCTTGTTAACAACTTCGTGCCTATCAGTTCCAAAATGAGGGACACTTAAGTAGACTGTCATTAAGTCATTAAGTTTTTATGAGTTTTTGGAGAATATTTTTGAGGCATTAAGATTTAACCAAATTTTTGTTGGAAACAATCAAAATATAATTCCCACAAAACGAATTATTCTTTTAGGTTTTCCAATTATGAAAAAAGTTTACTACCAAATCACGATTTTGATTCCACCATAACATCATTGATTGGTAAAGGAAATCTTTACAAAAAAGTGGACAAAGATATGTATGAGGAAATAATACAGTTTGATAAAATAGTTATCTTGCTATGTATTATACCTACTAGAAGCGCCTGATCAATCGATCTAAACTAGTAAGAATGAAATACAGACGCCAGCAGTTCAGACAACACTTTTCTGTTGCAATATCGCCCGTATTAGATTCTATGCGGATATCTGTATTGAAACTACACAATGGCGGATAACAGACTGCTTTTATTTTATTTCCTTTCCATATTCAAACAGGTTACAGAAGCTATGACACTAGGTGGCGCTAGTTTAATTCGTTACACTTATAACACTCTCTCCTAACGAAATAAACTAAATACTGTTCCAACTAAAACATAAAACAGAACAATATTCCTTGGAACAATCTTAAACTTCTGATATGCCCATTAAATCTAAAAACTTATGATGTTTATTAGCACTAAGACTCTTTGTCAACAAATCAGCTGGCATGTTGGATGTTGAAACATAATCAAGTTTGACTTGACTATCATGCACACATTGCCTTACAAAATGATGTCTCACTTCTATATGTTTTGTGCGCCTATGAAACAAAGGATTAACAGCCAACTTAAGTGAACTCTGACTATCACTATACAAACATATAGGTACATCACACATTGTTCCAAACATTTCACATAAAAGACTTTTCAAATACAGAGCCTCTTTACAAGACTCGGAGAGCGCCATATACTCGGCTTCTGTACTCGAAAGCGCGACAGTTCTCTGCTTTCTTGATTCATATGATACAACACATCCAGACATAATGAAACAGTACCCAGTATATGACCTTCTGTCTAAAGTGCATGATGCCCAATCAGCATCTACAAATCCATGCAATAATGAATTATTTTTCTTGTACACCAAACCATAACTTTTAGTTTTCTGTAAATACTTCAACAATCTCTTTAAATGTTTCCAATGAGTTTCATTAAAACAACTGTTAAACTGACTTAAATAACTTACACTAAAAGCTATGTCAGGTCTAGTCAATACAGATAAGTACATAAGGCTACCTACTAACTGTTGATATGGATATTTATTTTCACAACTATCAACATCCTTTTCCAACTTTAAATTCACTTCCATAGGTGTGTCTGAAGTGTAACAATTTGACATATTGAACTTATTCAAAATTGTGTTTATATATTGTTCCTGGTCAACAGTAATACAGTCTTTCATAACTTTAACTCTCATTCCTAGACATTGCTTTATCTGACCTAAATCTTTTATTTTAAATTTATTTATTAACTCACTTTTCAGCTGATCATAAGAACTTTCACAGTTATAGAATACGAAAAAATCATCAACAAATAATGCAATAAATACTTTAACATCATTATTACACAACATAAAAAGACATGGCTCATTATCAGATTTTTTATAACCTAAGTTCAACAAGCATTCCTCTACTCTGATATACCAGGCTCTGGCAGACTGTTTCAAGCCATACACTGCTCTATTTAGCTTTAACACTTTGTTATCACAATTTTCAAAATCTGAGCACTCTGGTATTTCCATATAGACATTTTCTTTTAAATAACCATTCAGAAATGCTGTAGGTACATCGAGATGATTAATTTTGAAATCATATTGAACACTTAAGGCAAATAAAAGTCTTAAAGTGGAATACCTCACTACCGGTGAGAAGGTCTCTGTGAAGTCGACACCCTTCTTCTGGGTAAAACCCTTGGCAACCAGTCTAGCCCTGAAGCGCACTCCACCATCGCTGTTTAGTTTCTTTTTAAATACCCACTTATTCTTGACTATGGTAGCATTATCTGGCCTATCCACTAGTGTCCAAGTGCCATTATCATCGAAAGACTTCAACTCATCTTGAATTGCACTTTTCCACTGCTCTTTTTCAGGTCCATTCATGACTTCATCTAATGAAATTTGTTCCCCTGTCACTTCCTCCACGCACATATTAGCAAATGTGAATCTATCTGGTTTTCTTCTTACACGTTTTTCTGGAACATTTTCCACATCTGGCTGTGTAGTGACATGAGTTTCCTCGGGGCTCATAGTGTCATGAAAGCTGGTGTCAGACTCACTTGAATCTGGAACATAAGTTGGATCACTTACATTATGTCCTTCAACATCTGTGACATCTGTCTGACTGCCCAGAGTTTGGTCTTGAGAGTGGTCTAATCCTTGGTTATCTTCACTATTCTTTACTGGCAGATTGCTGGTTGTGTTATCCTCGTCCTTCATGTTCTGATTAGAGTTTTCCATGACCACAACATCTCTGGCAATAACAATTTTCCGCTGATCTGGATTGTATAAGCGATAGCCTTTTGTGTTTTCCGAATAGCCAACTAGGATCATCTTGTTTGCTTTCTTATCCCATTTACTGCGCTTCTCTTTCGGAACATGGACCATTACTGGACTACCGAAAATTCGCAGGTGACTCAGATTCGGTTTTCTGCCCGTCCATACTTCAAAAGGTGTAACATCGCATTCCAATCCTGCTGCTGGTGATCTATTTTTTATATAAACTGCTGTGTTAACAGCTTCAGCCCAAAACTTTTTCTCTAACTGAGCATCAAAAAGTAGACATCTGGCTTTTTCAATAATAGATCTATTGTATCGTTCTGATACACCATTTTGCTCCGGAGTGTATGCATTTGTCTTCTGATGAACTATGCCACTTTGCTTCAAGTATTCCTCCATCTCAGTTGAGCAGAATTCACCTCCATTGTCAGATCTTAGAACCTTTATCTTCCTGGATTTCTGGTTTTCTACTAACGTCTTGAATTCCTTGAAGTATCTGAATGTCTGATGTTTTGACTGTAGAAAGTAGACAAAGCACATTCTGCTATAGTCATCTACAAATAGCAACATGTATCTGGCCATTCCGAGCGAACTGTTCTCCATTGGTCCACAAAGGTCTGTGTGAACCAAGTCCAGCACATTCTGACTTTTACAAACACTTATAACAAAGTTAACTTTAAACTGTCGGTTATTGTTGTAGATTTTCGCGTTTTAAGTTCTGTTTTTAAAAAATGCCAAGCCAAAAATCCACGAATAAATTATTATATTTCAAATAATAATTTTCTTTCTTACTTTAGTTAGTATGATTCTCCCAATACATTATAAATGATATTTTTTTAAATGGTAATGCGAATCTGAGGGAATAAACTGGTAAAAATAAGTTAAAAAACTCACTTGTCCATCCAGTTAACTCGAGTTACGTAACTCGAGTTCAACCCGAGTTACGTGGATTTTAACTCGGGTTAAATCGAGTTTTGTTTTTCCCGAGTTGGCCCATCACTAATACGTGTCATAGTAATGACGTCATCAGAATATTTCTTTCAGTTTTTACTACTCTGATTATGCGAGTATCTTATTCTTACTAGCGACCCGCCCCTGCTTCGCACAGGTACAATGTATTATACTTAAAAACCTTCCTCTTGAATCACTCTAACTATTAAAAACAGCATCAAAATCCGTTGCGTAGTTTAAAAGATCTAAGCATACATTGGGACAGACCGACAGGAAAGCGACTTTAGTTTTTTATGTAGTGATATTGAAGTGATAGAGCGTCCTCCTGAAATACTGAAATTGCACGTGTCTCTTAATACTTAGTTGAAATAATTGGAACAATTCTATTTGTTACAATATTCCGGAAATGCTAAGGCATTGAGCAAATAAAGGCGAGGACGGCGTAATAAAATACATTTAACCTCTGCATATTTGGGACTCACTCATAGAGCCGTTAGCTGCAAGTGTTTATTAGTTTTGATTGCTTGTAATAACTCATAAACATCGGTCACTCTTAGTTTTGAACGGATTGCATCATTGAGATGTTTTGTTGGACCGACCAATTGTAACGTTAATGATTCACAATAAAAGAAAATTAAATCCTATTTAACTATCTAATAGTGCAGCGTAGGACGTTCAGCCACAAGGTGGACCGACGACCTCATAAAGG